CAATTGCAACAACTATTCATGCACTTGCAAAAAATCCACGCACTTGTAACATATATTCAAGCACTTGTAACATACCCACGCTCTTGTAACATATATCCAAGCTCTTGTAACATATCCACGCACTTCATATCATATTCATGATAACAATATTTACTATCACTGAGATACGGTACATAATTCTTAGCACGTAGAGATTCATTAGATATAATTAGCAGGTAGAGATTCATTAGATATAACTTATTCATTTCGGAGCATTCCGATTGATTTGATTAACGTTTCCCGGGTTACGGATGCGGATAAACGGCATACATATACTGCAATTATCTGTGGAGTAACATAATAATATTAGACAGCTACTCCACATATACGTTTGTCACGAGCAAGATATGCAACTACAATACTATAAAAGTGAAAATTTCAGCAGATTCTTCACTAAGTGTTGCGTCTATATATGTTTCTCAATTGTTTTAGATTAATCAGACGAACACAAATACCTTGTTTTTATAAGGAGCGTATCGTAAATCGAGCGTATCGTGTTAGGGTCCTACACTGCCATGTCACAATCTTAAAGGGACCGCCCTAGCATACGAAAACTTCTACAGTTATTATCCGATTGTCATGAAACTTCCCATACATACGTAAATTGTAAAAAAAACATTTTGCTCCTATGAATTTTTCGAAAAAATTGATAGAAAACGTGAAATTCATAGAAAACGGCTAAAAAGGGGTACTTTAGAAATAAAGTCATTTTTCGACGTACAGGGACGATACTTATACCGTTCGATGCGCAAGAAAACAACCTTTAAGATGAGACAAGAAACAGAAAAACTCAAAATTTTCAAATTTTAGCTAGGGCGGTCCCCTTAACCAGAGGATAACCAAATTTTCTGCTTGAACTTAACACGTGTACAGTTACACCCAAACGAAACGTTAATCCGAGAGCCACGCGTAATCTTCCGCAAAAGATTCGTAAGTTGAATTGCTTGAAATTTATTTGCCTAAAATAAACTTGAAAGTTGAGTTCAATACTAATTGTGACTGAACATTATCATTTACTGTGAAAATGTGTGCCGCAACATGTATTTTATTATATATAAAATCTGTCGTCCAAATTTTTCGTCTTCTATGTAATAATTAACGAGAATAACCATTTTATTATATGATATGCATATATATTGAATGTGACTTGGGAATTGCAAATAAGTAACACGAACGCTACTGTACGTAATTGGAAAGTATTTATTGACCACTGGCTTTCAGCTATACGTCATTCAATCAACACGAATGTTGGTCTCGACGCCAACAGACAGAGTAGGAGTATCATGCAGAATATGAATGTATTGATATTTCAGGCGATAAATCCTCCTAGGTTTTTGATGTCTTCCTCCTACTTTCAATTACCAATAATAACACTTTCATTACTTCTGATATATAAAAAACATATAAAGAGTATTATTAAGTTATTCAAGCTCTGTAAGACGCTGGCAGCCAGCAAAGCCGGTGTGAAGGCTAGTGAAAGTCATATGCAGCCTTTATTGTCTTTCCCATGTTACATCGTTCAAGGTAAAGCATGAAACACCTCAGCATTTGCTTGTTCATACAAGAAAATGATGGTGAATATATCTGATGATTAACTCTCCAAGATTTAATCGGGATAAAACATCACCTACTTAATTTGAACTGTATTATTTATGGGAGGAACTGAATTATGAGATGTACAATCATTTGGTGGCAGCCAAATGAACTTGTACGGCGCTTGCCAGCTACATGCAAAGTAAAATAGCTGTGCTTGCTTATTGTAGCTGCGCCTTATTTTGTACCAAATTTGCAAGCGAGAAATTTAATGATAAATTCCGAGTTAATGAATAAATTTAAATAACACACACATCGAGTTCTTATGTGTTGTGGCCATTTTCTAATTATTTGAAAATTTTCAGAAATTTTGCGCAGTCGCTTGAAATCCTTTCGTCGTTTAGTAGTTTTAAATCCTTTTGATTATATTTCAAAAGACTAAAATGCCCTTTTGACATAAACTGTTAAATGAAGGATTCCGAATTTATTGATGCCAATGCAATGGGAAGTAACATCCTATTTCGAGATGAGAATGAAAATAAATTCACCAAGCAGTGAAGCAAAATTTTCTAACGAAACTTAAAGAGAGGAAGGATTAAATAAAACTGCAGCCGTCGTGAGGATCTTATTTACTGAAGTAGCCATCTCAACTCATGGTTATGTTATTACTTACAATGCTTAGTTGCTATAACTCATCTAGTTTATTACATCATTTTTTATACGTTCCAATATTACGTGGATTTCGCTTACAAATTGTCTTTTACATAAGTTTCCACTGTGTACATATAAATTTATTATATACTTCCACCAAACGTTCTCAACGGGCAAAATTTTATAATCTTAGTTCTCATCGTAATTTAATTTAATTTTAAATTCTCATCGTAATTTTAACCAGTTAGTTTTACAACGAGGAGCATTAATTAAAATTTCAAAAGAATCCGGTTGAAGTAAATGTTTAAATTACGCAGTAGCTTACGCATCTGTATTGAAGGACCAAAAAATTGTCGGACAAATATTTGAGAAATGTATTCAATTGTTTTAATTATTGGTGTGAATAATAAGCTGTTTGATTTTCGAAAAATCCATTGAAATATCCCTATTTACAATATTCCGATTCAATTGATTCAGCAGTTAATTATTCATGAATGAATGCAAATAATTGCAAATGCCTTAGGAAATTTTTGCGGGCATTGTTGAATCTTGACATAGCCCGTACAATATGGTGCTGTACGGAGATTCTTTGACGACGAGAAAACTAGTAACTCTGCGCTAAGAAAATGTCTGTTATGATAGAAATAGCACTATAAGTTATATAAGTCGGCCATAAGCAATTTTCTTTAAATACGCCTTATCAGTCAAATCGACATGTCCTAAATCTCGCTGGTATTGAGGGATTACGAATATCAAAATGAAAATCCCTACATATGGTTCAATTGAAAAATCACTCCTGAAGAAACAATTAGAAATTAATTTGACCAAAGTGAAGAGGGCTACACTATATTATTCTCAAATTACAAGGTTCACATTTCCTAGCAATATCAGGGAGCAAAGTGATATCAAAACTTTGTTACCATCTTTCCCGTGTAATAATGGAGCTAAATAATCAAAGCTATGAGGCAAATTGCTTTGTTTTGGTAAAAAATAATCGCTGAAACCGGCTTTTTAACGGGAATAAAAATCCCAATCTACGTACATGGAGACTCAGGAACCCAGGCGAAGATAAAAATAATAAATAAAGTACTATTTTTCCTAAAATTTACAGAGCGATGTGAGCCAAATCGAATTCAGGTCAGTGAAAATTAGACAATTCATCAGTTTTATCAACAGCTATGTATTTCTAAATGCTAATATTGAACTCTATAATCTTAACATAACGTATAAATGGAGCGGTTTCAAATGAGTATGAGTGAGATATTTAGGGCCAATAAAACTTGAGTCTACTTCAACTTGCTATTTCAAAATATATTCATGGCAATGGTGCTCAAATTCAAGCATCTTGAGTCGAAATCAATTGCACGAAACGAGGCTTGAATAAAAGATCCTATAAAAAGATCGAGCCTTCGGTAAACGCCGACATACATTTGATAGTAGACACCCTATGGAGGGGTAGCCTGCCGAAGACCACCACTGCCCTGGATGTAATGGATCATCATGATTCCTGCCTTCCGGAACGTAGCCTTCAACACTTCTGGACAATCATATCTAGGCCGTGGGTCGAACCAGCCCTCGGTCGAACGGCCACTCGTCGAAGGACGATAAATTTTGGAACAAAACTATGCTATCTGAAACCTAACCTCAGATGCGGTGAACGTAAAATTACGTAATTTAACGATGCCCAGAAGTCAAATTCGATCCGCAGCCTGGTGGTGCACGGCAGGTTTTATGTAAGTCCGAAGGAGGACAAAGCCGAGTGGTTCACGGCTGATTGGTGGATGTCCGGAGAGATCCAAGGCGTTCGATTTAGTGCTTATTGGTGCACAAAATTTGTGGTGCACGGCTGCGCTCCCCCTATGGATTATAGGAAGTATATAGACTTACGATGTCAGGTAACGTGCATATAATAACGTTTTGATTATAACAAATTTCTTCATGTTCTGATACACCTGGGAAAAAAGTCTTTTTGCTAAAACATAGATGCCATGATTATTGAAATTTTACTTATAAATTAGGGACGCCTGTCGGAGACCACCACTGCCGTGCTTCGAATGGACTATCATGATCCCTTACCTCAAGAACGTAGCCTATAACACTTCTTGACTGTAACATTATCAGCCGCAAGCCACCAGACAGATCACATCCATTGAATCAGATCAATCAGCTCACAGGAAAATAACCTGACGTAGAATGGCCCAGCGTCGTCTGCCAATAAGCGAAAAAATTGTACGCCACATGGACGGAGCGCACCGGAGCCGTCCGTATCTGTCACGTGTGTCGAATCAGCCTACAGTCGAAAGGCCACGCGTCGTAGGACGAAAAATTTTGGAACAGAACTATGTTATCTGAAATCCAACCCCAGATGCTGTGAGCTAAAAGTTACGTAATTTAGCGAAGCTTCGGAAGTCACTCGTCGGCGGACGATAGATTTTGGAACAGAACTATGCTTTCTGAAACCTAACCGCGGATGTTGTGAGCTAAAAGTGACCGTCTGGTGGTGCACGGTAGGATGCATGCAGTTACACTGGCGAGCTGGGCTGATTGGTCGCTGTCCGTTGTCCGCTAGTCACAGTTCGAGCTAGAGTCAGGGTATGAAGTGATGATTCGATGTAACGTTATGTTGTGGACAAACATTATTCTCTAGGCTATTCACTTCAGAATATGGTGGCGTAAAGCACCTAATATTTAAAGCAAGATGATGTCATGGGCTGGTTACCGACGGATGGCTTAATCCGCGGCTGATTGGTGGTCATCCGGAAATAATCTAGGCGTTCCTTTCAAAGCCGATTGGTGCACAAATTAGGTGGTGCACGGCGGCGTACCCATAAATAAAACATTTGTACGATTAAAAGACGGAACGAATGACTTTGCGCTGTCTCCCACTATCCATATCCAGTGAACCATTAACTTTGTTTGGGGCTTTAGTATCCAAATTTGAGTTTTCAGTAACTTTTTCTTCCTCAGAGAGTTCCTCACCAGATGACCTAACGTCTTCAAAGCCTTTCTCCTTAGATAATTTAATTTTTATTGCTTTGATGAGCTCCAAGGTCCACAAACAGTGAAGGAAAAGCAAAAGAAGAGATAAAGCACTTCCCAAGTAAAGTGCCGGCCAAATACGAAAACCTAGAGCGAAATATTTTGCAAAAATTGGTTTAATAATCATCACTGGATAAAGCACAAGTCTAGTTATTATCCAGATCACAGAAAAAACTATCATGCAGAACGTAACGAATTCTTTTCGTCCCGAGTAATCAAGCATTTTTGCCAAAGATAGAGGTATGTCGGCTACTTCGTGGATGAAAGCACTCAAAGATAGCAAGTTCATCCCGTTCATGGACACGTTATCGGAAATTGTAATAAAAACTGCCAGGTGATGGGTTAACATTATGTAGAAATCGTGGCGTCGATCTAGGGTAAGCAGATTGTACGTTTGGGTGATGTAAAATCCACAACAAAATGCGCAGTACCACCAAATTATGACTGGAGCTCGTTGATACGGAACGTTTTCGAAGAACACAGAGGAATCCCAAACAAAGTCTTGTGGTAAAACTATGAACAAGCCAGCAATCAAGAAGCAGCTATAGAAGAAACCTTGCCAACCCATGTCACAGAACTTCTCCAGCGTTGTCATTTGCGAAGATAAAGCTCTCTGACGAAGCCATCTTTCGACTGCTCGCTCTGACCAGTTGATGCGCGACGCGGCCGCTGTCAGCATTTGGCGCGGCGGTCGCGCTCGGTTTACAGCATACAAATCTTCAAGAGTTTTGTTGGGCGTTGGGGCAGCGTACGGTCGAGACCTGACGCCAGCTCTCATGCCCATGGGCTTCAGAATTAATGGGATGAGGATGTAATCTCTAAAAATGTACAGTGCAGCGCCAAAAATCAGAGCCCATTTCCAAAATTCTGCCAAACTTGGATATGGCTCACCAATTTTTTCTTCGACTTCTTCATATGTGACACCCGATGGCAAACCAAACCATTCCATCCAGGTCCTATTATTCATTGTTTCTTCGCTATTATATCTCTACTGCTAAGGACTGCAACGAAGTAATTTGTAATTACTTTAATTATTTAACATTAAATTCCGGAAAAGAACCGAAATTAATAATAAAATATTTACACAAAGGTATCCTTAACAACTCATACTTTCAAACCAATCAGGCATATTCAAATAACAATAAAGAGCTGTTACTCATCTCTGAATCTGACTTTATTATTATCCGTGCTAGAAGGAATGGATATTAATTAATTTTATTCATTCGTCTACTTCAGATAACTTCCATTACACCGTTTCACAAAAAATTCTAATGTACAGGATCACTCATGAATGCCCAGATACGTAGAATTAGCGAATGCTCAAGAATTCACTCGCAGATGAAGAAAGCTTCTTGGATTCACTATAATCTCAGGTAAGTTCCATTAATATAGGAGCATCAATCCTGTTACATTACACTGTGCGCTGTTACACTTTCAGTTTTCAACATTCAGCGCACATATGTTAGCATAGAAATTGCATGATTTTTCAAGTTTAATAATAGATGAAGAATGAACTAGTAACTTTTACATGGGCCGCCCCCCAGTTAAAATTTGGAGCCGAGACCGGCGCCGGGTTTAGCCGGGCTGGTCGCGCTTTAGCAGGATGGAGCCGTGAAACTACAACTGGCCATCTATCCCTAAAACGGCGCTGCGCCAATGGCTAATATAGAGACAAAATTCTAGCAGCTCGGCAGAGACGGAACTCTGCGCTGTTTTAGCGCTGGTACTTGGATTGCCCGGCAGGGAGCTGAACAGAGCAGTTAAGCAGGCCGTGCATGGGGGGGAGGCTTTGAGAGAGGGAGGAGGGGTAGCGGTTGGAAACAGCTAGTGGCGGGAGAATGAACTTCATCCTTCATCTAGTTCATTCGCATAGTACGTTATTTTGGATCAATTTCTGGTGTCAGTTATGATATTTATTTCACGTCAGTATTATAATACTTTGAATTACGTAAGAATTTTATATGCTGTTCCAGTTTTAACACGCGAACAGAAACGTTTGCGGTCATTCACGCGTTACCAAAGGTAGTTATATATCAGTTTATCATGAGAAAGTTTTCTAACTTGGATTTACAGAAAACGCGTTAATAACAGTAAATGTTAGAGCAAAGAAAATTACAAGAAAATTCACCATTTTATCAATGAAAATGTGAAAGCCAGCACCATTATCAGTTTATAAATTAATCGAATTTCCCTGCGTTTCGGTGCTGATCTGCGAAACGTTTTCATGGAAGACATGGTGAATTTATTTGGTGCTTTCTTTGCATTAAAACTCTTAGAGAACTTGCTATTTCAGCAGACTAATGATTTGAGTGCGTTGTTAATTTTCCGATCAAACTATCGAATGACATGAAGCTAATGCAATAGGATAATTTACTTAACAAATTTAGCTCTAATATTCACTTTTATCTAACTGACGGGATCATACGAATGGCTACTTTGTTCATTTCTTGAAATTAGTGCATTATGAATAATATCTATCAAGTTCAACGAAGGATAATTGAACGTAATGCCGTAAACGTAATGTGGCATCCGTATTGTAGTTAAGTAGTTCATAGAGCCTAGGCTGGTAAGGTGTTCGCGTGGCCAAGGTGGTACAGGCGTGGGCTACGACGCGGAGGATCTTCGTTCGATTCTCGGAGCTGGCGGCGACGTTTTCAGATAGTTCATAGCGGTGAGTAGTTTGATGTGTATATATTTCCTCGAAATTTGAATGTGTTAGTTTCTAAATACCGTTGTTATTGTCAATACGATATGTAAGTCAAAAACCAATGCCAATACAACCTGTCATTGCAAGAGAGAAGTCTAGGTGATATCAGAGAGAGAAGGAAACATTTTTTAAATCGTTGACAAACGGTAACGCGTAACTGCCGCATACACTGCCAGAGCCGCCCCAGAGCAGGCGTTGGGCTGGTTTGAGCAGGCGGTGCTCAGTAGGGGCTGCGTGTCGGCAGGACAGAGCACACCTGGGCAGGTACTCAGAGGTGAATTAGCGCTGCTACGCGGCTGGCGATATCGTCTCTAATGCGGACATTTCTGCTCTATCGCGGCTCTGTCGCGTCCCTACGTCGGCTCTGCAGCCGGCGACGGCCTGCTCTTTTCCCTGCCCTAAATTTTAACTGGGGCCGCTGGCTGCTCACCGATGCAACGGTGCCCTGACTGTTCCCTGACTGTGCCGCTCTGAACGACTGTGACTCCACCCGAGATGCTCGTGCCTTATATATACGGCAGAAGAGAGGACGCGTGAATGAAGTATCGTGAGGTGTTTGAAAGACAACAGACTTTCAGTTTAGATATACAAACAACGCACTCTGGCGGTGCTAAATTAAATATTGCGGGAAAAATTACACTGTCAATGAAATGCGCGTTACTGTCAAGTCCAGGCGGGCGATTTGAAAAAATTCTTCGCCAGAAAGTGAACTTGTGATTCAAGCGTTCATAAAGTCGTATCGTCTTTAGATTATTTTTCACAACCTCGATTTTTCTGGCAAATCACTTCAGGTTTTGGTCATTAAGATGAAAAATAGATGATTCATCCGTTTCGCCTACATGCCAGCTGTTGGGCATCAGATGACTGATGTTCGCAAAACGCCATAAATCTATATATATAGAAAAGAATAAATTCATACGAATGTTGACTGAAGGCTCTTGCATGTATTAGCTATAGAAACATACAGACGTTCGCCAGAAAAAGCTGTGTTCCATACCATGATTAGCGGAAGACATTGAATGGTTTATCAATCATCGGGCGCGGTGTTAATTGAAAAATAAATTGAAGAAACCACGTGAATGCCCAGAATTCATGTATTTCCCTGTTCAATGTCTTTCTAGAACGATTTTTTTATCAGACTACATGTATTCTACAGGTAGACTGCACTAATTTCTGCAGATATTCTAAATCAATGAGTCGGTGCAAAGTCACATTGTTCGGTGTTTTAAAATATTTGAATTTAATAGTTATAGTTTGTTTTTCGTACAATGCGGATCTAATGGACTCATACGTGGTCTCTATTGCTTGGTTTTCTGAAGCCGTGGGCTAATATTTCATTTTCTCCTCCGTGTGTGGGTTTTTCCTGGTCTGTCGGAAAAAAATTACACCTACAGCCTGGGTTGCGGAGCAAAAACTCGAATGTTCGGAGGAGCTTTTAAAGATTTCAGGCGCTTACAGACGTCTAGTTGTATTGTATTATTTACAGACGGTTGCGTTTTGTCGTAGACTGCATCCTTGAAGATTAGTGATTGAATTATTAATTTTTTAGGGTAGATACTTAACCTTTTGTTTGATTTTTTAGAATAAGACTTTGTCCCATAGATCATTTTTTCTCTGCTGCTGGTATATGAGCAGGATGCGTTCAGAAAGTCCCCATACTGTTTTAAATCGATGGATTCAATTGGGGTAAGTAGCTGTTGAAAATATACTGCCACGTTAAATAAAAGAAGACGAATACAATATTTTGAAGTAATGACAATTTACAAAGCTTGTTTTGACTTTTTAATGCATCTTAAAGTAAACCATTTAAATAATGCAATTATAAACATTTTTTGTGCCTGCCAGCGTAAACAGATTTAAGATAACTGGTTACATTGGCATATTTTTCTTCTTTCTACGCTCCCGAAAACACTAAGCGAGCTGTGATACTTATTTCCACAGCACCTTTTATTTGATGATATATACTATATAGGATTGCAAAATATAAAATTGATCTCCAAACTCTCTAAATGAGACCCAAATGGTCTCGTGCAGTTGAGAACAACGAATGACAAAAATTTAGGTTTTTAAAGTTATTTTATGAAAAAAAGTAACTTGGCTAGTGAAGAATGTTATTATGCAACTCGTTTACGAACGAAAAGTAAAAAGTCAATGGGTGAAACGATTTGCCCTGCTTTAATTTAAAGCTGAAAAAGAAATAAACAAAAAACAGGCAAATGAAAGAGGCAAATAAAACGTTGAAAACGTTTCAGGGATCAATTCCAACATCAATTCAAGAACCCAAGGAATAAAAGTTCAACCAATAAACTTAAAGAAAAGCGTAAGTTGCACGGATTGATTAATTCCTAAATATCGAATAAAAGGGCCAAGAAAACAACAACCATTCGTTTTAAATTTCGAAATCGCTGAGCGTCGTCTAGGCAAGTTTTCCTTCTAAAAATTTGAGAGATTCACACACCCCAATTTGAGTCACCAGAGGCGAAACCGAAAATCTTTAAAATGCTTCAAGACACTTGGTGACTGGTAGGCATGCAGGTACGCATCAAGAAGGGAAAGATGTGTCGATGTTTCATCCGTTTAAAAATTCTAATTGATAGTTTTATGAACGGGTTTGTTCAGTACTTGGGTTAAAACCTTTTATGATAATTTTGCTTTTCTCTTTTGTTTGTGCATGTATTCCTTATTTTAATTTTTGAGCTGATTATCGAGCTGGTTATCGTGACGTTTTCAATGTTGATTTGGTGAAATAACTGGGAATTTTCTTCAATTTGCAAGACAAAATCATTTAGTTACTCAAGGAATTTGTAGCTCAAGACAAAAAATATTAAAACTTCAAAAGTTAACTTGTTTTTATGTCTCTCAATTGCTTGCTTCAAATTTACTTCTGTAGATTTCGGACGTGTTAGAATCAAACTCAATCAAACATTGAGGTTTCTGCCGTATTTACCTTGCTCTTAATATTAGTGATAAAAAACCAGAGCTGAATAAAGGCTGTTCATTTTTAATGTCTTATAGAACAATTCTACAAAAAAGTACTTAAAACGGGCGAAAAATGTGTAACACACGTTTCTTTTCGACGCTCATTAACCGTAATCTTGTCATTCGGTTATTTACCGTGGTTTGTTAGACTTCAGCGGTAGATGGCGCCACTGTCGTCAGTCGAGTTAATACCTTGACGCCAACTTGAGTGGAAGACATCGTTAAGGAGCAAAATTTATTCAAGTTATTTATGTTGGTTTATGCTAATTTTTGTTGTTGGCTCACTTGGCTGTGATTTTTGTACAAATGATAAGGTATCGTGTGTTATTCAGATGAGTTGCTGAGAGAAACACCCTCTT